CCGATGAAATTAATCAGGCCAGTACTCGAAAGGAAGACAGTGTTTTGTAAACACTTGGACTTGAAGCTAGTAAGCTAATGAGACAAGAGAGCAGATCAACAAAGCATTTTCAGACTAACATGAATTTTATTTAAATATATAGTTGAGATAAAAGCTGATTAACGGTTCTACTATTAATCATACTTCAAAACAAAGTTAATGTAAGCAAGAACTGTGGTGATGTTTTACTCCTTGAGAACACAATGTTAATGTGCCTTTTGCAACCTTTGATTAATTTCAGGGATAAAAGAATATCCTAAGAGCTCTTCTTTACTCCAAGTGTCTCCAGAGTAACAGTTTAAGAACTAACATTCTCCCATCTCCTGTTGTTGCTACTACTACTGTGTGTCAATGCCTCAGCTTTTCCAGACAGTCACCTAGCACTTCATTACAAACTCTTACAGACCACTGAAGCAAAGGTAAATGTATCCACACACATCTGCTCTTCAGAGGTTTTTTTCCTCTACCTTTCTAATAATTTCTTCTACCCTTCACCTGACTTGTTTCTCATTCCAGAAAGCATTTTTAATGAAGGGGAGTGATGTACAGAATAACAGATAAATGTATACTGCTAATGTAAATGGACATTACAGTGTTATATTGTCCTTTTATTTGTAATCATTACATATTATGTGTGGCTATCCATTAGCAGGTTATTACTAAAACCTATTCCTTTAAACCTCTTAAATTTGAGATGATGAAGAATAATGGCAGCTATGAGTATGTTATTTATAAGAACCAAAAAGAAGCCCTCTTCTATGACCACTCTAATAACTCTGCTTAAGTGAATAAAGTCAATGCAATCTGAACCTCTGGGAGGCTTAATATAACATTCAAAATTTTACCTTAAGACCAAACATATTTGAAATATGTCTGCAAGACATATCAGACCTTCAAGTCTCTCACATAAAAAAGGATGATGAAAGCTTGTGATAGACAAACAACAAAAACCAAACAGAAATATCCAGAATTTAATCCAGAAATTTATTTGTATTCATTAATCACAACTGAGATTTTATATAAATACAAAGTTAAAATGAGTTGTGAACCTCACTTTAGAGTTGTCTTAATATACTGAAAATAAGACATTTTAAATTATTAACTGTGATATACCTGGTGTAATAACATGCATTTAATGACTAAGTATTGCAATGACCTAAAAATATATTAAGTTAAAATATTTTAAGTTGGGTTACTAGAAAGAGGTTTAAAAGTCTGCATATTGTACTTACATCAATAAGCAACTCATCTTTCGTTTTAACACAGTAAGATCTATTATCCTTCTCATTTGGATGATCATCTTCATCAGATACTGTTGAAGGCGAACACGAAGAGGAGGATGTAGTTGATGAACTATCTGAATCCGCATCACTGAATAAAATGAAGATGAGAGTTAGAATACAGGCTTCTACACTGCAGATAAAAAGTGTGGCTAGATCATACATTACTCAAATACTTTTGGTTGTCTGATGTTTTTCTTAGATGCATACATTCATATACAGAAGAGCAGCAATTTTTCCTGACCCTACAAGCCAAGGACAAGATCATAAGAAAAATCTCAAAAGAGTAGTAGTAGCTTCAGCAGTTCAGAGCAAATACTAACAACTACTGTGGCTTGCTTTTGGGTTCCCACCATTTCACTGTTGAATGTGGCATGAGAGCAATCACCACCTCGAGTAAATCTAATCCCGTTTCTCTCACTGGCTACTCCATGCAAATATTCAGCACCAGCATAACTCCCTGTCAGACACACATGATAGTCACAGTTTGGGATCTACACAGAGATCAGTAATATAATTTTTCACACAGGCACATGCAGAAGAGATGTTTAGTGTCTTAGACTCTTAATATTTCAAGTAAAGACCACAGTAAGAAACCAGTCCTTATTCACATCAACGCGTTTCTTTTAGCAAAAGTCTTAAGTTCTTCAAGAACCAGTGGAAGAAACAAACACGTGAAGTAACTGATTCTGATGACTGAAAAAACACATTACAAACCTCACCCAAAAATCCACTGAGATGTGGAGAAACATCAACAGGCTGCAAGCCAAGGCACTGCAGAAGCTGGGGTTCCCATGAGAACATTATTAAGAGAATAATAGCAGCTGGGATTTATACAAAAGCAATCTTTAGAAGACTAAACTAAGTTATTATTAAGTATAACAGGACCTTGGACCAGCCTAGAAGTAGGAGTTCAAAACTACACAAAGCACTGTGTGCCTGGGTTATCTCGACCAGAGCACTGGCTGAATGGTATGCGTGGTGTGTGGCAGGATATCTCGGTCTTGGAACACCTGGCCATAATGTATGGGAAATGATGGATGGGACAGTGCTGCAGTATGTGAACATCCTGATTGGCTGCATAGTTTGGTCCTTATCTGTAGCTATAAAAGTAGAGGCAGAAAATAAAAACTTCACTTGGCATTCATCTGCTGAGTCGGTTTCTTGTTTTCAGCTCATCGCACGGAGACAAGCAAACTTTTGTAAAATTGCATCTATCTTTTCTTCCCTGATCTGGCCACTAAGCAAGCAGCATTTAGAAACAAAGTGATAACCAAAATACAAAAAAATACTCCCTTCTAGATTATTTGGTATTACTTTGCCTCATACACAAGCAAATGGATGGCTTTCGACTATCTATTGCTGCACTATTTTTTTTCTTTTTTTACCAACAAATTCTGATAGGAAAGACAACAAATAAGAGCACCTCTCCAAACAAACCTTTCAAAAAAGCCAAATATGAACTTCCTGGAACAAAATCAACACAGCAGAAAGACAAAAAGCAGTCAGACTACCAAAGACCCATCAGAAGAAGGAAAAAAAAAATTAAAAAAGTTTGAGATACATATAGTCAACTAAATAAGTTAAAGCTATGAAAATTTCGTCTTTAATATTTATGTGTACACCAGCATGACAGACTTCGGAAGTAACAAAGACCACAGGTGAAGCATCTGCCCTAGGTCAGGAATTTTCCTCTCCATCACTTCATGATTTTCTAGGAAAAGTCTGAATCAAGCAAAGTATTTCCAAAGTGAAGCTTTAATCCATTAACTATTAATGAAGCTCAGCATCTTCTTTTTAAGAGGAGATTCTGAAGAATTCATTTCAGCCTTCACTAGTTAGAAGGAACACAAAACCCATAGTGCTGCAATGGCCCAAAGAGAAGACACAGAATTCACTGAAACTGATGAAGTGGGCAGGCTACCAAGACTGAAACTGAGCCCCCACCTAAGTTACCTTTCACCAGCTATACTGAACACCAAAACACAGATAAAAGATGGAACCTTTTATAAATCACAAGGTTGACAATGAGCTTTTCACCAAGATACCAGCATTAGAGCATGAGCTAAGATCAGCAGACCCTTTACCGCGAATATTCAAATATTTTCAGCAATAACACTGCATGTGCATCATAAGTGATATAGGAGCACCCTGTGAGGACCATGTCGAAGGACAGTTAAATGGTCACAGTGGTCCAACGAACGATGATGCTCTACAGGCCACTACCCCCAAACTCATGTTTTCATTACACCCTTTCCGTCACTGTTTTGGAGACTTATTAATTCAACAATGAAACTCCCAGTGAAATATAACGAAAAACGTCAATCTTTAATGGGACAGAGAACGCTACAGAAGCTGAAAGACTGGGACGGGGGAAACGGGGCGAATTCGGACAACTCGCTCGCAGGGCGTTGAGCCACTAGGGAGCAGACCCACGTTCGCCGCCGTCTAAGAGGCCTCAGAGGAGAAGCAGACACCCGCGGAGAGCAACGCCCCGCGGTCCAGCCCCAGAGTTAAACCCACCTGTCCGAGTCCGACGAGGGGGCGGCAGCAGGAGACTCGCTGGGACCTTCAGGCGGCGGCGAGCAGCGCGATCCCTCGGCTGAGAGCGGCGGGGCCTGCTCTTCCCCACCGCCCTCACGGGGGCTCGGAGGGTTCTTCGCCACCTCCATGCTCAGCGCCTGCTCCTCGCCCGGGGCTCCCTCCTCATCTGACGTCCCGCTGGCCGTGTCAGGCTCAGACGCCAGAGACTCCACGTGCACCACCACCTCTATCTCCACCTCCATTTCGGCACTCGCCATACGCACCCCTGGCGCCACACTCGGCGCGCTGCCCCGCCCCCAGCCACAAGCTACTTCCGGCTGTGCGAAGGGGCCATGCCTGGACGCGTTGGGGTTGTCTAGGCCCGGTGAGGGGCAGGGCGCATGCGTGTGCTAGTGAGCGCGCCGCGGGAGGGGCAGGTCCTCCTGTGACGCGTGTTATGGGGCGGCGCGATGCGCGGCTC